TGTGTTGAAGGCATTCCAGCATAGAGGGTGACCCTTGTATTCTTGTAGTCTTTAAATCCATTGTCCCTTGTAACACCACCTGTATAATTCTTAATTGGCCTTGTGCGAACACTTTGATGAATAGATAGTTCAAATATTGAGAAGGAATATAACATCTTGTTAAACAAATGAAGCACGCTTTACTGATTATAGGGAATATTTTTTTTTAGGTGCCTCTGCATATTAGATAAGCAAGCAAAGAACCAAGAACAGGTTGTGTATGCATTCCTGTCAGCAATTGTCTCCCTTAGCAAACCCACTCCCCCTCCCCCTCCCCTTCCCTGTTTCCAGATCGCTTCCTATTGGTTTTTTTCAATGGGAATTGTTAAGCTCCATGGCAGGGAAATGTGTTAAGTGAAGATCAAGTCGGTATCATATCATATGATATCAGTGTAATATTATCAAACACCAGGGGTTCCCCAATTGGTGGATTTCAGAAGGAAAAACATTTCATCCTAGATTTCAATTGTCATTTCCATGGGTTGTGAATTCATTATAGGCAGAGTACATGTTGAATAGGAGTGTCAAGAAAAGTAGCATCCTGGCAACTGTTTTATCTTTGGATCAAATGACTGAAATGGTTTATGATGGAAAAAGGCCATGCCTCGACAACAATGCTTAAATTAATTTGATGCTCTGAATTGAACTGGAATGAATTATCTAATTGATCAGGGGCACGTGAATTTGTGATTGCAACTAGAAAAACTGGACCTGATGACCTATTGAACTCTGCAATAGCTGGATTTGGAACGGGTGCTCTTCTAGGTCGTCTGCAAGGTTCTATTCTGCTACTTTTGCTCTCTTGTATATTGATGAGAAATCAACTCTTGCTTCTTCCTTTTCACATAATTTCATCGTTGAGCTATTTGCTGCAACGCAGCCTTATATGTATTTTGGACCGTATAATAACTCATGATGCCATTTAGACTGAGACAAAGTCTTGTACAATGAGATTGATGGTTTCCTTTTTAACCTTTCATGTTGAACTTTGTTGTGATTCCGTTTTAAAAGTTGTGTTTTTCCTCCCCCACATTTCTTTGTGTATTTTTCTTTTTCCTGAATATTCCAAAATTTCCATATAGTTTGGCATTAGTATCTTGTTTGATAGGATGCTTCATTGTTGGAAATGGTCATGCAAATAAAATTCAAAATCATCTCAGCTGTAACTTTTTCTCCCCCTGGACTTTTCAAGAATAATGTTGCTCATTGTTGTAGACAACATTTTAAGTTTTTTGAAGTGCCTGGGTTTGGTGGAAATTTTTTGTTGAGAGATATTTGGAGTTTGAGAAATTTAGCAGTTTGTAGGAGTTCCTACGCTAAGAGATATGAACGACTTTGAAAATTTTTGGTTTAGATATAGTGCTCATGGCATACCCATAATAACAAGGCATGGATAAGTGTAATAAATATACAATAATTTAGGACTAAACCTGAGCAGCATGTTGTGTGATTGAATACTATGGGTCTAAACCTGACCTTTTAAGCATGACGTGGGATTGAACAAATGTTTTTTCTCTCTCTCGTTATTGTAGGAGGTCAACTTGGTGCAGCTAAATACTCAGCTATTTTGGCCATCGCGGGCACCACAGCAGATTTTGCTTTTCTTAAATTAAAATCTGTGTTGAGGGACTACAATCAGTCTGTGTATCAGGATGATGAGAACTCACAGAAGATCGGCAGTGGCAGCTGGTTAAGGTTGCCAGAGTGGTTCCCAATCCGAGTACTTGATGAGGAAGCCCTTGCTGAAAAACGGGCTCAGCAAGAGAAGTTCCTTGCGCAGCAAGCTAGAATCCGAAATCTGAGAAAAGAAGAGTCATGAGAACTGCAAATTTTGGTGAAGGTGTGAAAGTCCTTGGATTAGGAAACAAGGGATTTCCAGCCTGCTTCTCAAGCTGCTTGGCAATGGCTTCAACGGAGATTTTGAATGTGTTGCAACCTGGAAATTGATTTCCAGATTTCCGTTTATCTGCTCGTGTAGGCATTCAAGAGGGATTTTTTTTTATTTTAAAAATATTTAAATACAAAACCAGAAATGTAATTATCATTGATTTTTTAATGCAAACCACTGGATCTGGATGATAATAAGACATTATATAGCATTGATAAGTAGATAATTTCAAGCTTGAAAAATGGGATTTTGTTGAAGGCTTTGGTTTTTTTCCTTCCCCGCCAACGGTTTGGTTTAATATTCTATACACTTTTGTTTTGTCTATTACATTTTTTTTAAATTTTTCTTAAAGTATCCCTACTTAGTGTATAATTTTTTGAAGTTAAATATGAGAAAGTCAACAGTTCAATAAAAGATTGGGACATTTTAGGAAAAAAAACTATTATATATTGTTGACACTTTAAAAAAAACTACTAAGTTAATTTCTGTAAACTAGATAAAGAGATCTTATGCTAAGTATAGAAGGAAGTAAGAAGGCGAAAATGTTTCTAAACATAGAAAACCATTAAATATATTATCTCAATTTAGACGTTAAAAGCATGAGTGGGATCGTGATATAGTAGCTATGAACCATTAAGACCAAGAAACAAATGTTTCCGTGCAATAAAGAAATTGATGATAAAGGGCGTTCCCTCATTGCTGCATTAAGTTGGGGGATTGGAAGGCAAGATGTGAGTTTGTCTTCCAGGGAACTCAAATTGATCCATGGAATTGGTTTCCTCGGCATCCCTATCGCCAAATGAGGTTTGGGCAGTCAGAAATGTTGATATTGTTCAGAATCAGAGAAGAAATAGCAGTCATATCATAAGGGAACTATGAACTATCTTGGAAATCCCTTGCAGCTGGTTCGAGTAAGATCGATGTTGATGGGGCTTTCAATAAGAGTCCTAAATGTGCTGGAATTGGGATTGTGTGCAGGGATTTCATAAAGGCCTGCTTCTTGGTAATGTGTGCAAGATAGCAAAGGCATCCTCTCCCTTTTAGTCAGAATGCCTTGCTCTGAAAGAAGCTATTCTCTTGAGCGATCATTTCATTATCCTAAAATTTATCTTGAGACTGATTGCCAGGAGCTATATGTAGCTGCTACCAGTCATTTAATAGCTAAGACTGAGTGGCAATGTGTGAATAAATTCACTGAAGTTCTGAAGTTGCTAGGTACAAGGCCTCATGTAGAGCTTTCCCTGGTTGCAGGACAGGGAAATTATGCTGCAGATTTCATTGCAGCTTATGCAAAAAATGGGATGGGTCCGGTCCAATGGAGTGCTAGTTTTGGCATCATCCTGTTTTGGTCTCTCAAGTTTAAATGATAGGTTTTGTTCCTTCAAAATAGTTTAATTATTAGAAAATTAATTGTGTGAAGATGTATAAACATCTAGGCTTTTTAGTGACGCATAACTCATTTTCAGAGGATGCACCTATTTTATAATTGTATATAAATGTCTTTCGTTTTATAAATTAAAAATAAATTACATATAACTTTAAAAAATTTGGCATCCTCTAAAAATAGCTTGCGTGTTGGTTTTAAACAAATTTCAAATACTTTTACAAAATTAGTTTTTTTTAATAATGGAATTTGGACAAATTTCTCATATCTGTCATGTTTACTAGGGATGGATATTTAAAACTGAAAGATATAAATGCATAGAAATGTCACTGACAAGTAGCTAGTTTTTTCTTTCAATCACAATACACAATTGACTGGGAGCACATTTCATGCTCAATCACAATCTGGACTATCCAGCTGATTTTAAATGATTCAGATTGAATTTAAATGGGTTAATATAACTTTTGGTTTCTTAAGTTTGTTTTTATTTTAATTTTGGTCCCCCAAGTACTAAATCATTGGTGTTTTCCTTCAAAATAGTCCAAATTTTTATTAGATTATAGGGATTTGTGCTTTAAATGAAAGAAAATTGAGGGACCAAAACCAAATAAAAACAAATTCTAAAAGAAAAAATTATATTAACCTAATTTAATTTGATTAATACTGAACAAGGAGCAATTAAATATGGTTGATCGAATGAGCATTGTCAATGTACTCTGATGTATTTGACAGTGTTGTTTTGCTGGCTTGTGGTTTTTTTTTTTTTTTTTTTGCTACAAGAGAGGGCTAGAGCCCAATAAGAAAAGACTAAATCATGGGGAAATCAGATCCCAAAGACTCTCTGCAAACCAGCATCCTCAGCTATGGCGGACAAGCATCCAATGAGGAAGTTCTAGACAATCCTTCTTTGGCCAAAGCATCAGCCAATTTGTTTTGTTCTCTTGAAATAGCTTGTATTTTCAAGTCCCATGAATATTCCGTTAATCTTTGAATCTGGACGAAGACCAAACTTGTGTCCCACGCATCTGTTTCTATTCTCCAGCATATTCACAAGATTTTTTGCATCTGACTCTAAGATTACCTTTCTGAAACCAAGGTCCCAAGCTAATTGGAGACCTTTAAGAATGCTCCATTCCTCAGCTTCAAAGGCACTGCAATAGCCCAGAAAATAAGTAAATCCAGCAATCCATTGTCCATCATAATCCCGAACAACACAACCACATCCTGCCTTGTTGCTTGAAGCACTCATCGCTCCATCTACGTTTACCTTGACCCATCCCATCGGAGGTGGAGACCATACAGTATTCTTATTAATAGGCAAGTGTGTAGGCATGTCAATATCTTGAATCTGAACATAATTCTTCCATGTCTGATAGATGACTGAAACTGGGTCAGGAGGTTTGATGAAGTCCTCTTCAAAAATGCTATGGTTCCTCCATTTCCATAATTGATGAAGTCCTCTTCAAAAATGCTATGGTGCCGGCTTGTGATGTTCGCCGCTTGTTGCCATTAATAAATTGCATTTGTTTGTTAAAAAGTAAGCCCAAGAAACCCAAAAAAAAAAAAAGGTCGTTTGAAGAGTGTTATTTTTATTTTTCTTTGGCCAACGTTTGAAGGGGTTTAAAAATACTTACTTTACCATAAGTAAGCATGCATGATCAATATATCAAGCTTATTAAGTTGGACTTATTGGAGTCTATTATCTAAATTTTATAAGAACTGAAATAATTCAAATTGAAAATATATTGAATCCTCGACCTACACATGGCGTTTGCCGTTTGAGACATATTGTCTCTCCCAGGGTTCGAATACAACCGCAAGTTTTTCTCCTGAAATATTAACAATAATCTAAGCACAGGTAACTCACTGAAAGCTACTACCTCCGGTCTTATACCCTATTTATATCTTATAAATAAGACTAGAGGTAGTATATAGAAAATTATGTAACCAAAATTTTATCTCCAGGAGCATAAAAGATTTTTTTTTAAGTGATTATAAGGTTGTCAGTAAAATGATTATAAAACATAAAAAACAAGGGGAAAATTAGGGATAAATTCTCCATTGAAAATTTAATTGGCAAATGGGATATAAAGATTTTGTGCAACTTAACTTCTTTTTGTGCAACTTATCTTTCCTTGTGTACAATGTATCTTTATTTGTGTGCAATGATCTTTTTTTGTACGATGCGCAACTCAATTTTTCTTTGTGCAAATGAACTTCTCTTATGTGCAAGTCATCTTCTCTTATGTGCGAACTAATTCCTTATATTCAAATAATATTCTGCGCAAACTATCTTTTCTTTGTGCAATTTATCATCTTTTGTGTGCAATTAATCTTTTCTTGTGCAATCAATCATCCTAAATCCTATTTACTAATTAAATTTTTAATAAGGGATTTATCTCTAACTTTTCCAAAATCGAGTCCCCATTATATTTTCCCCTCTTCAAACGCATTTCATGCTTTTTCGCGCTCCAACGTCCTAATACATCAGGCGGCAGAAACTTGTGTGTCGGGAAGACCTAGCCAAGTCAGGGAACGCCGCCACACTGTAGCAGACACCTTTGTAGAGATTATCCATCTTCATCACAAATCACAAGCATCCCTCCGTCGACGGGAAAGTGTCTTCCCCTGAAAAGGTTTTTTTTTGGTTGGTTTTCATCTTCGATTCTGTAAGGGGCAAGATTATACATGTTCCCATATATCGAAATATGGCATGATATTGTGTTGCTCTGGTTATTGTTTGTGGTTGTTCTGTTTGTGCATTTGGTATGCGTAAAGTGGGAAGATGATCAACAGGGAAATGCATAACAAAGCAGAAGGGGAGGGATTAGTACTGTAAAGTGTATGTGCGCGCGTGCGCGGGATCGTATTCGTATTGCTGTTTGAGGAAAAGAAGGCTGGGTCTTTTAAGGCGCTTTAGAGTTTAAATAGGCTTATTAAGACGAAACCTTTTCTTATTAGGATAATGAAGAGGAATCAAAAGAGGGATTTGAAAGAAAGTATCAAGATTTTAAACTCTCCTGATCTGAGAAATGAATGGAATCAATGAATAACAAAAGAAAGTTTTGCATGTTTATGATTACATTAATTGAGCGGTATATATTTTGTCCGTGAGTGTTACTATTTCTGCATTAAACTGCCACATGATGCTGGGAGATTGCGCAAGGGCTTTGAGTTATATTTTAACTTTCGTAATCATCGTGAACAATGAAAAAACTTTCACTGAGACCCCATCTGATGGCAGTTGCAAATGCTTTGACATATATTTGAGGTTAGAATGAACTCCTGATCCCTACGGTTTCACTAAATTTGTGATTTGGTCCTCCGCTCTTTATTCTTTGTATCTTGCGCCCTATAGGTACAAAATATTTGTAAAACACCCTCTGCTGTCAGCGTCTATAAAAATGCGGTCAACTTTATGTGGCAATTCACCTAATCCATGCGGCTCTCCAAGTCACCAATACATTGCCGCATCAGAAAAGAAAGTGGAGAAACCGTTATGCCCCTTTTAATTCTATCCAAATCCCAAATTTTACGGCATTTCATAGTACTGATGTTAGGGAGTATAGGGTCCAAGTGACCAGAAAATTAAGTGTTGGGACCAAGTTAAAATTTTGGGGAACTATACGGACAAAATGTTCATTCATTGTAACCTACATTTAATAATGACATCTAACCTTAGTCTTTGCTGCAGATTTTGAAAATAACTAGTCAATACCTGGGTATGGCATGGACCAACCTGAGGAATAAGCTACGTTATTTATGGCTTGTGATTATTGTAGTCTGCTTTCTGCAAAAGAGTTCTTAGATGTGGTGGAGAGCTTCACAAAATTTCCCTTTCCTATCACTTTTCATGGGATTGTTAGATGTTTGGCCAAAAAAAAAAAAGGATTGTTAGATATTTTCATCTTGGTGTTTGAAAACCTTCAATATGCATGTTATCTGGTTTACGGCTATGCTTATTCTAAATGAATTTAAATGTTTAATGTTTATGTTCACATTAATCAAGCGGTATGGATTCTGTTAAGGAGTGGTATATCTGCTTGAAACTGCCAAATGATGCCGGGAGATTGCGCAAGGGCTTTGAGTTATATTTGACTATCATAGTCATTATAAACAGTGAAAAAAGTTTCATTGAGATCCCATCTGATGGCAGTTTTGGTGTGTGACCGGTTATATTTTAGTATGATATTTAACCTGACCTATGGCTGCAGGTTTTGAAAATAAAGAGTGCTCTGCTGTTCTATCAGTATTAGCAGCGTTCTTAGTTGTTGTGCAGTACTTCGCAAGTTTTCCTTTTAACTATTTTTGTCGTATTCATGGTGTTCTAGCTCTTTTTTTGAACGCCTTCAACATGCAGGTTATTGTCTAGTGTTATTGTCATGGGCGTTGTGCATAGGTTTGATGTCTGATTGCATCGTGTTATGATTGGCATTCTTCATTGAAACCCACATTTTATGTCTCAACTTGAAGCATTTGAAAGTAAATGCTGTTTCAGATATAGAGAAAACCATAGAAAAGGATTTAATAATTATGAGGTTTTTCTCTTTCCTCTTCTTTTCTGTTGAAATATTCAGGTTTCAAGACTGGTTGCAGATTGAAAAAATGAAGCATATTGTGAAGATTATAACATTATTAATGGCCATTACCACTGTATGGGTTGGCCTTTTACAAACTTCTACCATTCCAAGCAGCCATACTTGGTTGGTGAGTGCTCATGTTTTCATGTGTTTTCTTTACCTTTTAGTAGAATATATTCTGTCTACTACTCATAATGCCTTGTTTATACCTTCTGTCCAGCTACCTATCTATTGTGTTGTGTCTTTAGGATGCTATGGCTTATTAATGGTTGGAGTAGGTCTCATGCAATTTCCTACCTGTCCTCAAGAGGCCCTGCTGTTGCAGCAGGTATGCCTTTTCATTCTGCACTGGATATTCCAAGGTCTTAAGTTCAACATTATCACAGAAATGCTTGCTTACTTGAGATGTTTTCAGGACATTGTTGAGGCCAAGAGCTATTTGAAGCAAAGAGGAATTGATGTCAATGGCAGCTGAAGCAATGATCTCATGAACCTGGTGCAGCAAATTTAGAACCTGGTTGATCACAATTATCTGACTGAGAATTCTCACCAGTATATTTGTCATGACAATTTTATTCTAACTTGATAATTATTAAAGTGAAAATCACATAGTAAATTTAACAGGAAGAAAGCTTAATGTCAATTTTAATTTTTCAAATCTCCTTTGCCTTTGTTGGTTCGTGTGTGTTTACCCTGCATCATTATCTAATTCTTGACATTATTTATACATCTTTTTCATGTTGTTGCCTCACAGGCAGGATATCCGTACTGAGGCCAGAGAACTCATATTACGACACCCCTTGAATGAATGAGCAAAATTAAGGGGGACAGCTTAGATGTTTCCAAGATCATCTAAATAAAGAGACCAATGCTTATTTTTAGGAAGATAATTCAATAATAAAAAATCAGCAGGCAGCAGTTAAAGGTTAACCATGTTTCACTCAAAAAAACGAAGGCCAACCATGTTAATTCAATAATCAATAGTACAGTGACTGAATGTATATTTGAAGACAAGTACTAATTGTCACCAAAAAAAAGAAAAAGAAAAAGAACTATGAGGCTTTAATCAGATACCTAATTAAACCCTAATTTATTGCTATGGTCCACAAATTACTGGTCCTAATTCCCACATAATGATAGCGTTGTGACCGCATGGGAAAAAAGAATCAACATCTCTTCTCATGTTGGCGATAAAAGGGGTAAAGAAAAAGCATTTCTTCCCACACCACTTCACAATATTTCATCATAAGAAATATGACTACTTGAAAAAATAGAACCAAATTCTTTTTGATACATAATTCAACAATTGGCGTGGCACCCTCTAAAATGCACTTGAACCTTTAGTTTTAATACTTATTTGTAGGATCCAAATCTGGTTCCCCCTATAGTCATCTCAGGAAGCAGGAGGGTAAAACTCGAGGTGGGTCAAACCATCAAAGCTTTTCAACAAGCTCCTTAATTACCATCCAAGCTTTTCAACAAGTTCTTGAATAATTCACCAGCTAAGTTAGAAACTATTGAAGCCATAGCCCCAGTGCCAAGATAGTAAAGCACTGTTTTGAAATATGTGAGATATGTATTTGGCCTCTGGATGTGAGCTTTTGCGAGTGAAAGGAGAGTGATGCAAATTGCAGAAGCTCCTGCAACTGCTGCCAGCTTCAAATTCTCATTGTTGCTCTCACAGAATGTAAAGGTATATACCAGTGGTGGCACCAACCCAAATATGATGAATGATAGTACGGCTATGCACACATGAAGAAACAAATTCTCTCTCTTCCCCAAGACCTGCTCATAATATCGATCGGCGTGTGCATTTGTTTGATTGCTGGTTTTTGGTTCCTCAGATTTCAGGTCCCATATCTGTCAACATATGTGTTCAAGTTTCGAATTCAAGAAACATGTATACATACATGTGTGTGTATGTATATACAGACATTGAATATGATGAATGGTGTATGTATTTTGATTAACTAACACTTGATGCTGCCGGCTAAGGTTGATTCCGTTGGTAAGTAGTTGACTCTTGACCCATAAAATTATGAATTTAAATCCGTTGCAAGTGTAAGTATTGTGTCGGTGAAACGATTTGTAAGTACTTTTTAAACATGGAGGTATGTTTTAGTTTTGATAAGCTTCCGAGACCAACTCACATAAACTTTTTTTTTTTTAAGCAAAAAAAGAAACACTTGATAGCCCCTCTTCTTTCCAATTATTATACCCGGCTTTCTTGACATTTGATGTGTGTGTGTGTGAGAGAGAGAGAGAGAGAGAGAGAAGTAGCTCCAGAAATGACTGAAATATACAGACGTATAGCTCCAAAATAAATGTATCATGTTGTTAAACAAACAGAAAAATGCATGCGTTGGAAGTAACTCACATTATGAACAAGGATGAAAAGGCCACCGATCAGGTTTGCAAGAGACAGAACTAGAACGTTCACTGCAAATTCAAATTGGTGAATACAAGAATACCATTAGGTCAATGAGTTAGCCAGCAATAGAAGTTCTTTGTCGATGTAAAAGGCATATTCAACTCCAATGCCTGCTACTTTGTTATGTGTACATGTAAAGCTCTTCAGGTATTGTTAACTGTGCCAGATGTATTGTGAAATGGTTATTTGTAGGTTAAACTTATATCTTAATCTTTTAATGGTTGAGATTTAAAATTGAGTAAAAATATTATTATAATATTACATATAATAAAAATTTACCATTTTAAACTATTTATATCAAATTTTTATCAGTATATATTTATTTATATACTTTTTATTATTTAATATTTTAATAATATTCTTTTAAAATAAATCTTAGCCATTGAAATCTAATTTAGTGATAGAAACATTAAATAGAGAGAAATTAGAGAGAGAGGTCAGTAGAGATCTTTCTCTTTCCATAAATTATGAGGCTAAAGTAGCAATCAATTTAACTATAACGTGATATAGTTAATTTAATGATGTTATGCATTATTATTATTATTATTATTACTAATATTGAGTAATTATGTAAATTAAACTATCATCTTTAGTGTTCAATCCACATTAGTTATTACAAACAGAACATTGATTCGGTAGCACTCTTGAATAATCATTTTGGAAGCAAAGGGAGAGAAAAGAAATGAAGTTTGAGGTAAGACTAAGTCTTACATGTGGTAGCATCCGAACTTGCTGAAGATGTCACAATGCTAAGGCTTGCTATAGATTCATTCAGACCACCATACACAATGCTTTTCCGAATTTCCCATGTCGTGCTATTTCCTGATTCCTGAACTACATCTGTTCGTGTCGTCGTAGGTAATGTTGTGCTCCGAGGAACTGCTGTTCCAGGAACACACTACATCATTTCATTGCAATATATTAAGAGAGCATAATTTTTAAGTTGTGAAGTAGTCATAATCAGATACGATTGCAGGATTGATTGGTGAAAAATGTCAAAACAATTGATCGATGCCAAACCTGAGATTCTGTCATCAACTTTAACCTCTTCGAGCTGCAGCGGTTGTCTGCTCCTTGATGCATCCTGGTCATGTTCATCTGGTGGGATTTCACCGCAGATATTTGAAGAATCTGGCATTTGATATTACAATCGAGATTACTTCCTAGATATGCAGACCATGTGAAAAAAGTAATGACTAGAAATGAGAACAGTACTGTAGAAAACAAGAAAGACTACTAGTTCTCCGTGAATAGAGAATGATTTCCTAGGCTCTATCGTTCCTACATATGACACTGAACAAAAATTAAATTCTTTGGTAACATAGTTCATGAACATTAAACGACCAGGACTTATTCTTCAAAAATAAATGCGGACCTCTGGTTTTATGATCTTCTTCTTCATTGGATGCTTCATTTGCTCCATCATTCATCACGCGATGAGGTTGCAGGATTTGTTTTCCTGAATTAGCTCCAGTTTTAACTTGATCAGGACCCTGAGTTGTAATTTCTCGTCCAGCTTTAGTTCTTTCATCACTCAGTTCTTCCTGAGAGTGATCTGGTGACTGTTGACCTCCTGCAAAAATTGATTTTCAACAGCAAAAGTAGACAATAATGTATCATTCTAGTATCAGGGAGATGTATTAAGCAGTAGATACTGTTACAAAAGCATCATACAGAAAGGAGACCATCTCCTATTCTCAATTCAAACGATAAATTAGAATTGTAAAAATCTTGTTATTAACACTTTTCAGAGAGTAAGATCATTCAAGAAATCACCAAACATGCATGTGAATTGCCCAATAAGTTAGATGCATTAAGGAAATACTTCACCTTGACTAGTTGACACTTCATTGCCATGTGCCCGCTCAGGGAAGAGCCAACTACCTGTTGATAAACGCAGAGAAATTTTTAACCCAAGTCATATTGAATATGAGAATATTGATAAGTGATGAGCATCTGACAATATTCAAATCTAGTTGCAAATCAATAGTTCCTTGACAGCCAAAGGTCTTCTTTAGATTTACGATGAATAAACACGTTCATATAAGCCAGACAAAACTTCTCTCACATGTTTACCTCATATTTCGAAAATCATGATTAAAAAGCTGCTTATAAGCCAGTTCGAGCAAGCCTTAAAGGGATAGTACTTTTGTATCTTGTTAAAAATGAACGAGTGCTCTCTCTCTCTCTCTCTCTATATATATATATATATAGGATTAAACTTAAGTTACTTATATTTATTATGTCAAATTCATAGGTGGATTTTCAAGTGCATATACGCATCTTAACAACTAACAATAGCAAAATAACATGTGTAATTGAAAAACTTAACCTAATATACTACCTCGGGTCTTTAATATAAGAGCTCATTTTACTTTTATTTTGGTCCTAAATATAAGATCTCAATCCATTTTGTTTCTCATATTTATCTTTTTTTTTTCAAGATAGTCCTTATAATAATAGTAGTTCTAACCAATACATTTGATTAGTAAAAATATTTTAGGAAAAACAACACATATTTATGACAAATAACTAATGTAATTAATTTTCTTAATCTACTCAAATTAATCAACTAGCTCTTATATTAGAGACTAGGGGTAGTACTCCTCCGGTCCTTATTATAAGACCCAATTTGAATTTTTATTTGGTCCTAATTATAAGACCCCAATTCATTTTATCTCTTATATTTATGTATTTTTTTCCAAGATAATCCTTCTAATAATGATAGTTTTAGCCAATATACTTAATTAGCAAGGATATTTTAGGAATGACAACACTTATTTATTATAAATAACCAACTTAACTTACTTCCTTAATCTCCTCAAATAAGTCAATTGGGTCTTATAATTAGGACCGGAGGAGTATATAAGTAACTTGACTAAAGTTTTATCCATGTAGATACATATGCATATACATATATACATGCGGTCATCTGAGTTTTGTTCAAGTCAAATGAGATTTTACCTATTGGGATGAGGAAACTGAAGCAGGATGAGCATCTGAATGTATCAGGTGATGGAGGAGATTGTGCAGGAAGACTCGTT